GCATGCAGATTGAAGGACTGATACCTTTGATATCCACAATTGTCCATCCAATGGCCTTCTTGTACCTTCTCAAAATGCGCAGCAACTTTTCTTCCTCTACAACACTCAAAGAGGCATTAATAATGATTGGAAAAAATTTACCCTCTTCTAAAAATGCATACCTTAAATGAGATGGTAGTTGTTTGAGCTCAAGTGTAGGCGCCTTTGTGATTGGTAAAGTTGACTGAGACTCCACAGCTCCAATTTCTCTAATCAATTTAGCCTCGGGATGACCTAAGAGTGGTAAAGCTCTTGAGTATCTTAGACACTCCCTAATCTCTTCACTATCAACTTCATCCTCCTGGTCTCTGGAATTCATCAAACAATTCTCTAAAGGCAGAATTGGGTAGTTTGCTTTAAAATTCTGCTCTACTATGGTGTCGAGAACATCAATCTTAAAACATGAATCTAACTTAGACAGATGCTTCATAGACTTGAAAACATCAAATTCTACTTGCTCATCTTCTACCCTTAAGATCAATTTCCCTTGGTGGACATCTATCGATGTTCTACCCGTGGCCAGAAAAGGTCGCCCTAAAATCAAAGGTATTTCCCTATCTTCCTCCATATCTAGCACTATGAAATCTACTGGGAAAATCAGTTTATCTACCTTAATCAGGACGTCTTCGACTACCCCTCTAGGATTTGTGATTGATCGATCAGCTAATTGGAGAGACATGGTGGTTGGCTTCACTTCTCCCAATCCAAGCTTCCTATAGATGGAAAACGGCATTAAGTTAATACTAGCCCCTAAATCACACAACACTTTATCAAAATAGCAACTACCAATAATACAAGGGATAGTAAAACTCATTGGATCTCATAGTTTGGGTGGTAGTTTCTTTTGAATCAGCGCGCTGCATTCCTCTGTCAGTATGACTTTCTCGTGTTCCTCGAATTTCCTCTTGTGCGTGAGGATCTCCTTCAAAAACTTTGCATATTTCGGCATCTGTTCAAGCATATCAACAAATGGAATATTAATATGTAAACTTTGAAACATGTCAATGAACTTACCAAATTGCTTGTCAAGCTTCTGATTCTTCAACCGTTGTGGGTGCGGCAAGGTTGCCTAGCTTAAAGGAGTTTTCTACTCAGATGCACGGTTGCCGCGGCGACTAGATTCATCGCTGCAGCGATCGTTGGATAATCCTGACAAAATTTGAATAGCATCATAGTCGCCGCGGTGACCCGTTTCATCGCTGCGGCGATCATCCTTCCTTCTGACAGAATTTTCTTCCTTCTCACGATCGCTGCGGCCACCATCTTCATTGCCGCCGGGATCGTTCTTCTGATCATCCTTCAGGTTTTGTTCTATCCTCTATTTTTCACTTTCCGAATTTCCCAAATTTCTTCCACTCCTCAGGGTGATTGTATGTGCCTGTTCCTTGGGATTTTTCTCTGTATCACTCGGTAAAACCTCTTGACCTCTTCCCGCTAATATGTTGTGAATCTACCCAATTTGAGTCTCAAGGTTCCTTATAGATGCAGATTGATTCTGAACCAGGACGTCGGTCTTCTCAAACCTCTTGCTTGTCTCCTCAATGAACTTGGTTAATGCATTTTCCAAGTTTGATTTTTTCTCTTGAGGTTGAAAAACAGGTGCTTGTTTTTGCTCATTGTTGTTGCTCCATGAAAAATTTGAGTGTTTCCTCCATGCTGGATTATACGTATTGGAATACGGATTTCCTTGCCCTATTTGGAAATTGTTGACGTAGTTGGCTTGTTCAGGCTAAGCAAACTGGTTTCCCTCTTAGCAATCGTTCGACGCATGATTTCCTGCACAAAGGTCACATGTTAGAGAGGAAGATTCAATTGCATTTATTTTCAACACATTACCTAATTGCTTCTGGATGTTCGTAAGTTGAGCAGCTAATACAGTGTAACTGTCGACTTCGTGTACTTCCATTGATCTCCTTGTTGAATTTCTTTCTGGAGTCCTCATATAATTGTTGTTCGCCATCACCTCGATCAGATTGTATGCTTCTGCTGGCGATTTGGTGTTCAAGGCTCCCCCACTTGCAGCATTAATCATGGCTTGAATGGTTGGTAGCAAACCTTGGTAGAACGTTTGCACTTGTGACCAGATTGGTATACCATGGTGTGGGCACTTCCGTAAGAGATTCTTAAACCTTTCCCATGCTTCATACAATGACTTTGAATCTTATTGATAAAAATTGATAATCTCACTCCTCAGTTTGGCCGACTTGGCAGGTGGAAAGTACTTTGTGAGGAACGCTTGAGCCAACTCATTCCATGTTGTGATGCTTCCAGATAGTAATGAAATCAATCAAGTCTTAGCTTTATCCCGAAGAGAAAATGGGAAAAGCCTTAGATTGATTGCATCCTCGGATACTCCGTTATGCTTAAATGTGTCGCACAACTCCAGAAAATTTTCGATATGCAGGTTGGGATCATCATTAGGTAACCCAGCGAATTGGATCGACTGCTGAATCATTCCGATAATTGCTGGCTTAATCTCAAAATTGTTCGCTTGAACAGGTGGTCTCCTGATGCTTGAATAACAACCATCGACAGTAGGACTAGAATAGTCCTTCAATGCTCTCTGAACTGCTTCTGCACCACCCACTGCATCTCCTCCAACAATATGCTCATTCTCAACCTCTTGATTTTGCACATTCGGATTGACAAATCCTGTGTTAGCCATGGCTCTTTCAGATTCAGGTTGCCTCTTTTCCTTTCTCAACTGTCTAGCGGTTCGTTCGATCTCAAAATCTAGTGGATTAAGATCACCCCTACCTCTCGAATGTAAACTCTTTAGATTCTAGCTGAAAACAACAAACAAAGCAAACACAAATAAAAATTTTCAGTAGACAAAAATAATTAAAAAAAAAAATCAAGTTAGCAACTAAATATTTCGTATTGATATTGGTAAAACAAAATAGTTTCCTGGCAACGGTGCCAAAAACTTGACAGGCTATTCGCAAGTGTACGAAATCGTGCAAGTAGTAAAACTCGAGTAAACGAGTGTCGAATCCCAAGGGAACTACCTACCAAGTACCAAACTATTATATTCTATTGCTATTTGATTAAACTGAAGTTTAAGAATGAATTTAATGAAAAAGTAAATAAATTAAAAACTAAAAATTAAGTATTAAATAAAGGCAGAATTTGTAAACACTTTGAAGGAAAAATCAATATGATTAAACCTAGGGTATAGATTTCACACCAATTTAATCCTATGCATTGACATCTATTGTTAACCTAATCAAGCGTATTCTAAAAGCCAAATCCCCTCTGATTTTACTAACTCTCTCTCTCTCTTGAGCAATTAGCAAATTAACCCTTAAGTAACAACCCAAGATATCTCTAAGTTGGATTTAGGAGCTAAGAGATCATTAAGCTCTATGGAATTTACCAGAGCCTCACAGACCGCGGTAACCTATCTCTAGCGTTCGCTCAATCTATGGTTTTATTACCTAAGACAAATCAGGTTTCATCTCTTGATCTCAACCTAACCCATGATATCATTCAACTCTCGGGCCCTTGAGAATTGAACGCATTATACACAATAATAACACTTAGAATTAAAAGCTCAATAAGAATTAACAACAATCCAAGTCAACACATAATCAGAAATTAGGCTACATCTTAGCCCTAGAAAAGAGATTTAGTTTATAATGAAAATAACAAAATCCATCATTCTCTTTAATGACATCAGTTCAGGAAAGAAAAAGATAAAAACTTCTCTAATCGGTGAACGAGAGCTCTTGGATCCCGATCTCCAACTTGGTAGCCGTCTTCTTCCTCCTCCAAAAGTCCTCTTTAATTTCTTAAAAACTCTCTTTTATATCCCTGGGGTTCTTGGTCGTGTTTAGGAAAAAGATTAGAAAATTTAGCCCATTCAGATATGGATTAGGGTAATGAATTAACACAAACCCGTAACCCATCGCCGCGGCGATAAGAATGGTCGCCCCAGTGATCGTTTCTTCTGTCCAAAGCGTCCGTAAACTTCAGAATTAGATGAAGTCATCAACACAAACATTGTAGCTCTCTGAATAAGCTTCCAACGCCACTAGAATCGTCAAATTCCGACTTCTACAGCTCAAGTTATGACAGAAACATTGAGACATACTCATGATGAATAATTTCCAGATTTTCCGTAGCATTTTCGATGTACCACAACTCCCTCATTTTGACCCTGATTCTTGTGCCGTTTGTTCCTATGCGTTGTGAATCCTATCGACATCATTCTTTTCCCTTCAACAACCTGTTTGAGCCTGAAAACACTCAACATGCACCCGTGATCTCATAAATGGTATTTATGAAAGAATTAATCCAAATTCCACACTTTAAATATATTTTTCCATAAATAAACCAATTAAATCACTAACAAAATATCAACATTCAAGCTCTTATTACTACTCGAAATCATTACTTGTAGAAGAAGTTTCGACTCTGAAAGGTGTGAAGAAGAGAATTTAGTTCATGTTTTGAGATATTTATTTGTAATTTAATCGATCTTCAAAATTGTTAATCTACACGTGAATCAATTTAAATCGGGCTGGTTTGGTTTGGTTTCGACACTTTTTTGTTACACTTATTCTTCACTTTATATATATAAAATGAAAATGTTACTTAAAAACTTTAAAAATAACAATCAAACATGGTAAATTATCATTATATATTTATGTAATTACATTGTGTGATTATTATTTATGTAATTACATTGTGTGATTATTATTTATGTTATTTTTTTTAATGAAGTTTGTTTAAAACTCTAGATTTCTAGATAATCTAGTCATCACAGTTAAAAGGGTAAATTAAAATTATATAAAAAAATATTTTGATTTGGCTCGGAATTTTTTTCATTGACTCGATAAACCGGTAGACATCACGTGCCCGAATCAAACCCCTCGGATTGGCTTGGTCCGGTTCGGATGAGTTCTACACAGTACACACCCTTACTTGAATTGGAAAATTATTGTTTGGCGCAAAACTTTTTGGAATATCTTGCAGCCCACAACTACACAAACTATTTCAGTCGAATCATCTTTATCTGCGGTTAAAGGAATATAAATTAATAATCGCACAGACAACTTCAAATCCGGTCAGCAACACCACTGAACAAGCAAAACAGTCAAAACCCTTTTCAAAATGAGCGCAGGTAATACGAAAAATCGTCTCAACTGGTTTTGTTTTGTTTGATTTTCTTGTTTATCTTCGCATGTATTTCTTATAGAAACTTTGATGAATCACGAGAACGGTAACAAACAAGGAGAATCTTGATTTTATTGAGTGTTATGTTGATGAAAATTAAGAATGAAGTATGAATTAATTTATGGTATATATACTTGGGTTGGCAGGTGGAGCCTTTGGTGGCAATAGAGGAGTCAGACCTGTTCCACCTGAAAAAGGAATCTTCCCTTTGGATCATTTCCATCAATGTGATTTGGTAATCTCTCTCTCTCTCATTTTTAAAGATGAGATTTTGCTATGTTTGTGGTAGAGAATTTTACCGACCTCAAGAATAAAACTTGTAACATTGAAGGATATAGATCATTAGTCCTTCTTTCTTGAGGTTCACTCCTTAAATCATTGGTGCATAAGCTAACTTTTGTAGACAAGAATTGATAAGAGTTCGTGAAATTGCGTCTTTTAGTGAATTTACTTGGCAGTGAAAAGACAAAATTTTGCGAACTTCTGTAAAATTTTCCTTACAAGGGTTATGGGTTTTAAGTCCGCATTTTAGACATGGACGCAGTCTGGAGTATAAAACTTATAATGTTAAACTTCTTAATTATATCCTTTATTGTTGTAAGTTCTGCATTGCATATTGCAAGTTTTATGTTTCAGGTTGTATAAATCTGTATCATGGCTATACGATTTGTAACACTACCAAACATTACAAATAGATGCTTGTAAGCTTGGAAGGTTAGTTTGTTTAATTAAGAAAAGGATATTTGTTTTGTTATATCATTTTCACTTGGTTTTTTGTTTCTAGGAAAAGAAAGATTACCTTGGTTGTCTTAAATCTGCTGGTCACCAATCTGAAAAGTGTCGGCTCTTCTCAAAAAAGTATCTTGAATGTCGAATGGCAAAGTGAGTATTTCTTAACTTTTATTCTGTTTTTGAAATTGGGTTAGTGGATTTTTGTTTAAATAATATTTTTCTGTAGCTTATGACTTTTTAAAAGATATTGCTCCTAGTAGTAAAATAATATAGTGTTTTGATGGACTTTCTTATTAGGTTGCAATGTCATATCTCTAGTTTGGGTCTATATCTTAGAAAAGATAAAATAGAACAATTTTTTATTGTTTGGTAGCTTGTTATGTTCCCGATGGTTGCTCTGAGTTTCAAACGTGAAACAAGGCAAGAAGTCGTCTTATTCTCATCTGTCTTTGCTTAGCCCTAAAAAAGTAAAAAGAGTAATTTGATTAGTAGTGTGGTGACATTTTATGGAGCTTTTTAGGCTTAATTTTATCTGCTAATGGATTTTTCGATTCTTTTAAAGAGATTGCAGTAGGGGTTTAGTACTCGCAACTTGAACACATCATATGAATTCGCAAATATATTGCTTTGCTTTTTTTGGGTTACTATTTTTGTCAGTTTAGATTGTTCATGTGTCTGTGGAGTGCTTTGAGTAGTGCTAATGGTTAAAAAAGATTTCTAATACTGACAAAAATATGTTATATATTGTCACTTGGAATTTTGTCTAGATAACATATTTGGTGGTGAAAAATCTAATATTCATTTTATGCTATCTTCTCTAAAATTTTGAAAAGTTTGTTTACTACTTACACTGATCTTCCACATCCATATATTTAATTTTATTTATTTTTTTTATCTCTGTATCATATTCATGTTGTTCAGAATATTGCACGCTTGCAATATAACAATATTAATAATTAGACTTATGAAGTACTGCTTTGAACAAGAAATTCAAACCTGTTAAAGTTGTTAGTTCAAATTGATCAGAAATGCTACTGTAGTTTATCCTATGGTTTAGTGGGGAAGCCAGAATCAAGACTCCTTTTGCGTATTGCAGAATTAGAGAATGTTGCACGAAAATAATTTGTTCTTTTTCTCATTTGCATAATTCATTTGTTAACCGAACATACCTTTTGACATAAAGGCGTTATTTTATATCAATAAACTTTCATTGGTGTTCTGCAGAAACTTAATGGCAAAACAAGATTTGGCTGAACTTGGATTTAGAGAAGAACGTGACTTGGAAATTTCTAGAAAAGAGAATGTATCAGAGAATTGAATTTTGAAGCTGAGCACTGTAAATGTTAAGCATTATGGATTTGATAGGACATTCTATTCATCTTTGGAATGAGAAAGCACAGCAACCATGAATCTTTTACTTGTGTATTTTAACTGACAACTGAATAAATCATCTGCCTTTATTAACAATCTGATAGCTGCACGAACATGAAGAAAAACTTTCTTCCCAGAAGAATATAGATCATGATTCATGAATAACAGACCTTTACACTTGGTCCTGTTGAAGTACATCTATTACTTTGCGTTGATCACTTGTCAAATGGACTTTGCTTTCATCCTCCTAAGTAATTTTTTGCTTTGAAATGTCAAGAGTTCATTTTTGAACTTTAGTGGTCTAAATAACTTACTCTTATTCCCTCTTTTGGTGCAATCAAATTTTCAAATTTCAGCAGTAGCTGAGACTAAAGTTTTTCTTTGTACGAGTTCTTGGTGGACCTTGAATATTTGGAAAAGTTTTCCACTATGACTTTGAATCCAAGATCTACTAATTTGACGTGTGCTATACATGTTAAGAGAGAAAGAAGACTCGCCTAAAAAAAGTTCAACATAGTTTGATTTTCATTATAGTCGTATAAAACTTTTTCTTTAACATAATCCTATATGCATAAGACTACCTCGGATCTTGATCATATTTATTTTATGTGCTTTGTTCTATATCAAGATTGTTACACGTTGATTGTTACTACTCCCTTGTCCCATTATCTGGATGGTTTTCATGGTTTCTTGGTTACATTAGTAGATGTTTGAAGTAACCTATGGGTTGAGTTGATTGGGAAAAGCCATGTAAGAATGGTAGATGGATTTCTAGGTTTATAATCTCAGAGTTAATTTTTGTACTTGTTGAAAACATTGGACTTCCATAAAATTTAAGGATCGCTCATGGGTTTGTCTATAATTGCACTCAAAAGACTATTTGAAATAATCAACTAGAGAAAAAACTAATTACCTTTCCTCCATTTACTCATGTTCCATACATTACACCATAAAATTAATAATGAAAGTATATGTGGAGTCTCTGTTTAATAATTACATGTAGAGATTCTTGTCTTTCAACTTAGATATGTTTCTACCCATTTCCTGGTACCTTTCATTTTCTGTGAGGTCCCCCATGGAAAACCTTTAATTAAAATGGACCTTACCATTGTGATTGAATGAAACTTGAAGTGCACTCCACTCTCATTTTCTTTCATCTATTGCCAGTCTATATATCTAAGTCTTGTCTTTTACAGCTGTTTGTGTACTGTGTAGTTGGAAAATCACAGGGAATTTATAAGATTATATTTGTAGACTTTTCTACTGTACAAGGACGATAACTAGTAATTACAAGGACTATGTCTCATGTGATGTCTTATGTTTTCTGTGTTACAGAATCCTTGATACTGGAAAGATACAGACCATGAATTGTAGTGAATCCTTACATTTTTCAGGGCAACTTGCTCCTGCAGAGGTGCATGTCTTAGTCAATTGAATTTGTTCTCATCTCCCTGTATGATCCGTTTGTTGACAAGTCAGAATTTATTTTAGGGCTGCTCTAAAGTACTGTGACGGTAATGTGCATTATCTGAAAGAACCATCGGATTGCCATGTGTTCAGTTACTATTGGAATACCAAGAATTTGTTCTAATCTTTCTAAAATCTTTGCAATTTTCAATAATGTTGAAATTTCCATGCCATGCTTTCATAACGTGTTGAGTCATTTTGTTGATCAAGATTCAAACACTAACCTGCAAGTCAAACAAGAACCCTGGACCTTCAATTTATGATCCTGTTCTAGATCATATGACCAACTATCTTCAAATTTACAGGAATAATTTAAAGTGATCGGATGATTTTTGTTACATTTTTCTCATTGTTTAGAGTTGAAAATTCTATTTATAACAGCATTAAATCTTTGTACCTGGAAGTATTGCGTAACCCATTTACCTTTTCTTCCTGATATTTCATTTAAGCGGTCCGGTAACAATCAAAGAAGACTTGTTTGACTTAGATTTACAAACTTCACTTCTTTATTGGATTCATTCCTGGCTTTGTGGATGCATCAAATTTAAATTTATTTTGCTCTTGCAATGGCTGTTAATCTTCTTTTGATCTTTTCCTTTCTTTTTCTGCAAATATTTTCAGCTGTTGCTCAAAATAATGGTAACATAACCATTGGAGCTTCTCTATCGGCGGCTGAAAACTCATCTTCATGGCTTTCTCCGTCCGGAGATTTTGCCTTTGGTTTTCACCCTATTGGCAACAACAACGAGCTCTTCTTGCTCTCTATATGGTATGATAAGATACCTTCCAAAACCGTAGTTTGGTTTGCAAATAGAGATAAGCCTGCACCAAGAGGATCAAGAGTAGAATTAACTTCTGCTAGTGGGCTGGTTCTTCAAAGCCCTCAAGGCGACGAATTATGGAATTCTGAATCCATTAGAGGTACAGTTGCCTTTGCTGTTATGAGTAATACAGGCAACTTTGAGCTTTTTGACAGCAATTCGGATAAGGCATGGGAGAGCTTCAGGAATCCTGCAGATACTATGTTGCCCTCACAGACACTGGAATCAGGGGAGCTGCTTTCTTCTAAACTGTCAGATACTAATTTCTCCAAGGGAAGGTTTCGAATGCTAATGAGACCTGAGGGCAATCTTGTTCTTAACACCATAAACCTGCCCACTGACAATACTAATGATCCTTATTATGACACTGGAACTACTACTGCTTCTAATTCTTCTGGTGAAAGGGTGGTCTTCAATGAGTCAGCCTACTTCTACATATTGCTTAGTAATGATCAAAGATACTATCTAACCAACAGATCAATCAACCCTTCAACTAAGAACTTTTACTACAGAGCGACCATAAATTTTGATGGAGTCTTTACTCTGTATCAGCATCCTAAGAATTCAAGTAATGAAGGCTGGACGGCTGTTTGGTCCATACCGGATAATATTTGCAAGGCGAGCTTTACTGGAGTTGGTAGCGGCACTTGTGGGTTTAACAGCTTTTGTAGACTGAACCCTGGAGACAAAAGGCCTATCTGTGACTGCCCAAAAGGGTACTTTTTATCTGATCCAAACAATGAGTATGGTGACTGCAAACCCAACTACACGCAGAGCTGTGCGGATGATGAAGAGGGTTCTCCAGCAGATTTTTATGGTTTTGAAGAGGTCATAAACACTGATTGGCCAACATCTGATTATGCACTGTTGCAGCCTTTTACAGAAGAGCAGTGTAGAGAATCTTGCTTGCAGGATTGTATGTGTGCTGTTGCTATTTTTCGATCCGGTGATATGTGTTGGAAGAAGAAGCTACCACTATCAAATGGCAGATTTGATAATACTCTTGATGGTAAGGCTCTTATCAAAATCAGGAAAGGTAATCCTCCTCCCAGAGGCACTCCCGCTTTGCCGAGACCAGATAAGGAGAATCAGAAGAACAAAGACAATTTGATGATTGTGGGATCAGTACTTCTTGGTGGCTCAGTTTTCTTCAACTTTATGCTGATTACTTCAGTTTGTCTTTGTTTTTTCCTTGTTTACAAGAAGGAACATCGACAAATTCCTCACCATGGTGATGCCGTGGAAAAAAATTTGCGTTGTTTTACTTACAAAGAGCTTGAAGAAGCTACAGATGGATTCAAGGAAGAACTGGGAAAGGGGGCTTTTGGCATTGTTTACAAAGGGTTCATTCAAATGAGTTCTGTCACTCCGGTTGCTGTGAAGAAGTTGATTACTTTGGTGCAAGATGGCGAGAAGGAATTCAAAACTGAAGTAAATGTAATTGGCCAAACTCATCACAAGAACCTGGTTCGCCTGCTTGGATTTTGTGATGATGGGGTGCATCGTTTACTCGTATATGAGTTCTTGAGCAATGGAACTTTAGCAAGCTTCCTTTTTGGTGATTCAAAACCTGGATGGAATCAGAGAACACAAATTGCTCTTGGAATTGCAAGAGGACTCTTGTACCTACATGAAGAATGTAGCACACAGATTATCCATTGTGATATAAAACCTCAAAACATACTTCTTGATGACTACTACACCGCTCGAATCTCTGACTTCGGACTGGCGAAACTTTTGATGCTTGATCAGAGCCATACACACACTGCCATTAGAGGAACAAAAGGGTATGTTGCAGCTGAGTGGTTTAGGAACTTGCCCATCACGGTGAAAGTGGATGTTTTCAGCTTTGGTGTGCTGCTGCTAGAGATAATTTGTTGTAGAAGAAATGTGAACATGGAAGTAAGTGATGCTGAGGCATTGTTGACAGATTGGGCTTATGACTGTTATCTTGAAGAAAGATTAGATGCTCTCGTGGAGTTTGACATGGAGGCCTTAAATGACAAGAAGAAGGTTGAAAAATTTGTGATGGTTGCCATTTGGTGCATTCAAGAAGATCCATCTCTTCGGCCGACTATGAGGAAGGTCACTCAGATGCTTGAAGGAGTTGCTGAAGTACCAATTCCTCCATGTCCATGCCCATATACCATGACAAATTGAATAAACTCTTGTTGCTTTTAGGCTATACCTTTCAATCAGCCAGTTAGTATTGTTGTTTCCTATATCTTCCTTTAGGTAAGTACACTGTTAATCACGTTTTATCTTAAAGATAGATGGTGAATTGTGAGGGTGTAGCTTAATTAGATACTAAGCTGTCAATGTTATTAAGTTGATAAATTAATTGAAGTTTCTACCGTCGCTCAGTACTTGGTATTATTCAGTGAAGTCCCTTAAGGTCAAAGTCTAAGTAGACTTAAATCTTGTACAGCTTCTATTCCATAAGGTTCTTGGCAGATTGTTTTGCCTTTATACAAAATTTCCATGGATGTCCAATCAATTAGCTTTGAGTAATATATGTAGTTGCTTTTAAAAGCAGTCTATATTTGGGTTTCGGATTTTTCGCCTAAAATAAACAAGATTACCACTATATGAGTTTTCATAAAAAAAAAAAACCATTTAAATTTATAATGCTAAAGAAAATCTTTAATAAAATGAATATATGTGCATTTATTCAATCACTTAGATTATTTAGGTCTTATGCATTAATATGACCTACGTGATCCATCATAAGGGTCAACGTTGGGAAATAGAGGGTAGCTTTCATACGGAGTGAGAATTGTAATGGTAATCGCAACAACATAGAGCATAAATAGTATCACGTCACGATTTGAGTGTTTATTGATTATTCAATAAGATTAGTCCGTTAATTGATGTTGCTTATTTAACATTATAAGCCTAGACCTTACCCATTTTTATTTAATGTGGATCATCACATTCTTCCACATCTAATCACGTGGCACCTTTGTCACGTTCCATATTTATTATTGGACAGTTCAACTTATCCCTTTGTCAGTTTTTAAAGGGTTGGTTCAACTCATCCCATTGGTCGCTTTTAAGGTCCCACTTAGTGGTCCAACTCATCCTGATACTATTTCTTTATTTCTATCCATGGATCGCAACATTCTTGTCATTGGTCATTTTTTAAAGGGCTCACTTAGCAATCCAACTCATTGCCACCTGGTCATGTTACGTTTGACACTGCCACTAGTTGGTTCGACTCACCTCTTCGTTGGTTTGTAAGACTGCAACATTCTCCTCACCTAATCATGTAACGCTTGATTTCATAATTAGTCGATTGAACTCACCTTGTCGATTTTTAAGGGGTTCACTTAGCAGTACAACTTCCTGTAGCATTATTCTTGACACAACCCATGGCTGATTTAAGGGGCCTGCATAACTAAACTAACTCACCCTTTTTATTTTTCTGAAATTACTTGTCATGGATTGGGCGCTTGCCAATTAACTAAAGGGACATGATTTGAGTCAATGACATTAATCCCCCTTAGGTATTATATCAAAAAATTCCCTAAGGTTTTGGAAATAACAAAAATCCCCATGTTGTTATGCTTTATAGGGACGTTTGGATCATATAATATTTTATTATACGGGTATTTTATATTAACGGAAAGAAAGATCACCTTGAAAATTACTAAGAATGTTTAGAAAATGTGTTTGGTTGGTTCGACTAAATTGATGAATAATATGTTTGGTTGGGAGGATAAATAGGTAAATATATTATATAAATTACTAAGTTGCTTTTATTTTTAACTATTAATATAATAGTTTTTTTTATTATTATTTTATGATCAGTTTTAACCCCCTGCATTTGAAATTTTGCTAAAACACCCTAACCATATAAAACTTTAATTTGTAGCAAAACACCCCATCAACCCAAGCCACTGCCGGTAGTCCAGCACCCACCGTCGACAGTCCACGAAATGGTGCAGCTGGCCCTATATGGTCAGCGTTCGTCGGCAAAGCCGAAAAATGGCCATGGATCACAAATCCATGGCCAGAAAACAACTAGATCTATGGCCATTCACAGCCACATCTTTGGCCATGAAATGGCCATAGAAACGCCAGATTTGGCGATTTCCGGCCATGATCTGTAAAGGCCTTAACGACATAAGACTGACCAAATCCTGTCAGTCATGCACCATTATGGCGACTGACGTCGGTGGCTAGCGGTGGTGAGTCACGGTTAGTAGGGTGGTCTTGGGTGGTTGGGTTCTGTTCAAATTTATGCTTTGTTGTTGGGTGATTTACCTAAATCTCAAATATTGGAGGTTAAAAGGAATTTATTTAAATAATATAATAATAATAATAATATATAATAATAGGGTAATTCAGTAAAAGCTTCTGTTGATAATATTTATTTTTCCAACCAACTTAATTATTTATACCCACTAATCTAACCAAATATATTGCTATAACATTCTCTCATAATTTTAAGGTAATTTATCTCACTGGTAATCCCACATTTCGACAATAAAACATTCTAAACCAAACGACCTAGGAGTTTATTTCCTATTTAAAGAGCACGCTTGGGTCTTGGTTGTATGTCAAAAGTCTTTTACTTCAATTCAATGTACGGTGTCAAATTTCGGGGCAGTTTATAAAGGCCATTTCAAGTTTGCATTTAATTAAAAGGCTATCAAGTTTTAAAATGTTAACTAAATCGCCATATTATTGATTAAGGGTAATTAGTGCTTAATTAGGATTAATGAAGTATTATGTAATCTTTTCAAAATATACTATATTCCATAAACCCGAAATTGTGCAAACAAACCAAAACACCTTCTCGCCATTAACGCTTCTCTATCTCTGCATCTTCTTCTTAGCTTCGTCTACATCTTCTTCTCTCTGCATCTTCTCTTCCATCCTCCTTCTCTGCATCTTCTCTTCCTCCTTCCTCTATATCTTCTTGTCCTCCGCCTTAACACTTTATTCTCCTCCACCATTAACATCTTCTCCGCCAAAGATCCCTCTCTCCCCTCCTCTCATTTCCTCTAAGTATGGTACTCCTTTTTACTTTTATATTTAGATTTACAAAGATTTAATAGGATGGGGTTTGGGTTATGATTTGATTTAGTTGTTTAGGTTGTTGGGTTGTGTTTGATGTACTGCAAGTTGAAATGAGTAAATTTGTTGAAATTTGTTCTGGTATGTGTTCTCTGGGTATGAAGGAATCGATTATAGGTGGAGATGACTGAAAATGTGTTCTGGGTATGATGGATCGCTAAGCGATCTGGCGATCTGGTGGATCGCTTAAGCGATGATGGTAGGTCTAGTATGCAGCAGATAGATCGCTTAAGTGATCAGGTATGCAGCAGTAGATCTCTTAAGCGATCAGGTATGCAACAGATAGATCGCTTAAACGATCTGGTAAAAGTCGGTGTATAGGAGTAGATTGGTTAAGTGATCAGTAAATGACATAAGATCGCTTAAGCGATCATGGTTATTCATACTGGATCGCTTAAACGATCACTATCGCTTAAGCGATCCAGTATAAATAACCATGATCGCTTAAGCGATACATAGACCATATAGCGATATGCAGATTCTTTTTAAATAATTTGAACCCTTAGTACAACAATTAATTTTTTTTCTTACATTCAGGTAGTTAGCTATTATTACACATGGGACAAGTTGTTTTGGGTGTTGAATATTTTGGTGAGTGGTGGAGGAAGGACGTAGCAGCAGTGGATTGGGAAGAGCAAAGAAGCTATACCAATTGCTGTGAGCACAGAGGTTAGTTTTGATGAGTTGATTAATGAAATAATTAGAAGAGGTAATTTGACTTGCTCGCGTAGTGATATAGTTGTGAAGTATGTTTAAGCAGAGTTCCTGAACATTTAAGGTACCTCTGTTATATTAAAGTCGGATGAAAGTGTGAAGTTATATTGATGATGTGGCCGATAATGGTTCGAGGCAGATTTTAAGGGTTTCTCTTTAGAAAAACCGTTCGGAAGTTGGTTCAAAGGAAGGGGATAACGAGGAAGTAGGCAGAGATTTGCCTGGTTTTAATTTGAACTACGAGGCCATTGATTTTTAGTTGAAAAATCAAGAGTAGACGGTGAATTGGGTGGTGGGAGGACACTGTAGAAGAGGTTGGTGATGGGGGGCAGAATGAAAATGTTGAGGAGGAGGACCCGTAGATGTTCCCACAGATGTAGAGATTCCTTTAAATACAGATTAGCAGAAGACTTAGATTGTGAGAGAAACACCATGGTCGTTTATGCAGGTTCAGAGAGGGCAATTGGAGGTAGTAGTGAATTAGCTCATGTTTTTACGATGGATCGGATTTGCACATAGGGTATTTATTGACAACAAAGAGGAAGCGGTGAGGAAGCTAAAACTTGTTGCCGGAGTAGAGTAATTTGAGTTCATCATCAAAAGTCAAATTCATTCGGTGTGACGGTTGCCATGACCGAAAGTGCAAGTGGCGGATTTATTGTAGAAGTTGGCGGAGTCGGAAAAATTTATGCTTAGCATATACCCGTGAGCACACTGTGGTTTGGAACATATTTCAGGTGAGCATTGACAAACGTCCACTGATGTTATTGGACAATTTGTCAAAAGTCGGTTCGTTAAAGGGAAAGGTCCATCTCTAAAGACATTCAGAGACTTGTGCGCACAGAGTTGGATGTGCTGTTAGTTACTGGAAATGCTGGAAAGGGAGATACATGCACAAGATTTTGTGAGGGGCACGCTAGAGCACGGGTATGTAGTATTAGAAGCGTACCGTTATATGCTGAGTTGACAAACCAAGGTAGCAAGACGGCTTTGAAGGGGACAGGAATATGATGTTTAAATATTTTTTTTTGCTTATGGTTTCGCTATAAAGGGTTTTATAAACATGAGAAAGGTGTTGGCTGTTGATGGTTGCTTTCTAACGGGAAAGTATAGAGGTACATTGTTGGTGGCCACTGCATAGGACAGCGAGAATCACACATATCCTGTTGCATGGTATGTGGTTGACTCTGAGAATGATGAGTCTGGACTTGGTTTTTTCAGTAGTTAGGTACAGTGTGCCTGACACTGACGAGTTGTGCATATATCTGATAGGCACAACTCTATAAGAAGGGGATTGCCACTATTTACTGTCAAGCACATCACAGATTCTATATGAGGCATCTGGTGGAACATAAAACAAAAGTTAGTATGCTGGGCCTCCTTCAGACATACTACATGGCAGTTAAAAGCTTATCGGGTTGATGCGTTTGAGGAGCAGTTCCAGCAAATCCGAATCAAGGATTAGAGGTTGCTAAGTATCTTGAGCATGACGTTGGTTTGAGCGATGGAGTAGAGCTTACTTTCCTAGAAGAAGGTTGATGTCATGTCCACGAACATAGCCGAGTCCATA